TTTTTAAATAAGAGGCGTGGCACACAGTAAACACATAGAAAGATAAGCTGTTACCATCGTGCCCAAGTTGGAGCTAGTATAATATCATAGAATGACATGCCAAGTTATTTTTCTAATCCTTCATCACCGACTTCTTGGATATGTTTTCCACCTGGTTGTACCATGCACATGTTCACTATTCCCAAGCTTTGGAGTGTCCTCTTCTTATCCCTTTTCACACTGATAAGCTCCTACCTAGCATTTCATTCCCAACTCAAATATCACTTCCACTTGGATGGTCTCCTCAATTCCCCTGGACAGAGCTTGCTGTTCCTTTTCTATACTCATAGCATGTATTATCTCTATTATTTAACTCGTCACCTTATACTGAAGTTTTAAATCCACCTTTTTATACTCTTAGATTGTAACATTTTTATTTCTATTCCCAAGTCTTAGCATATGACTGGCAAAAAGCTAAATATTTAATAACAGATGGATGGAAAGAAAGAAAGAAGAAAGAGAAGGATGGAGTAAGGGAGGGAGAAAGGAAAGAAGGAAGGTTGGTTGTATTGCCAACCTCCATCAAAATGGAATAAAAGTGAACCCATTATCTTCACCCACACCTGAAATTCCCTGGAGTTCTCTCTCTCTAGGTTTATATGTTTTTTGTTTGTTTTTTGTTTTTCAGTGCTTTCACTGTCTCCCAGTTTAAAACCATAATCCTATCTGACTTTCTTGCTCAATCCCTTAAAAGGCAATCCATTAGAACACCATCTTATCTCTCTTTTTTTGAGATAGAGTCTACTCTGTTACCCAGGCTGGAGTACAATAGTGCAATCTCAGCTCACTGCAACCTCCACCTCCCAGGTTCAAACAATTCTCCTGCCTCAGCCTCCTGAGTAGTTGGTGCAGGCATGCACCACCACACCTGGCTAATTTTTGTATTTTTAGTACATAAGAGATTTTGCCATGTTGGCCAGGCTAGTCTTGAACTTCTGACTTCAAGTGATCCTCCTCCCTTGGCCTCCTAAAGTGCTAGTATTATGGGCATGAGCCACTGCACCCAGCCAACCATTTTATCTTTCTTCATGGAATATCTTCATCAGTCCACCTCTTATTCCTTTTATACTAATAGTTTAGAACTTGTGCCCAAAGCATTTTTGAAACCTTCCTTATTGCTCTCTCATGTCCAGTCTCTCCCTACTAAAATTTAATTTTCCCAGATAAAAACTAATTATGTCATTTTCTTGCTAGAATACCTTTAAGAGTTCCCTGTTGCCTGACACTCAGTGTGCTCCAAAGTGTGGTCCCAGCCAACCTTTTCAGAATTCTCTCACTCAATCCCTTCTCCTTTAGCCAATGAAGTAGGCACATTTCTCTTACTCCACACTTTTGATCTCTTCCTCTACACCATACCTTTGCTCTTGGTCACTCTCTTCTCCAATGGCCTTCCTTTTTTCTTTTTAGCTCATATAAATCTTTTAATTAATAGTGTTTTATTTATCTAAGACCTCAGACGAATGATTTCCAGCCCATGGAGTACTAGAGATCATTTTAATGCTAAAAAAATTAAATTTTGAAGCTTTCCAGGTCTGTCATGAACTGAAGGCTCTGAGATTTTAACTACTTGCAAGCTAATAAGTTAGCCTGTTACTGTTTCATGAATGCTGGCAGAAGGAGGAGACTCCTAGACCAAAAACAAAGGACTTTGGCATAACGAAATAAGCAGCAAGCACATCAGGATACTGAGGCTCATAGCCCTTGCACCCAGTACTACCAGAGCAGTATTATGGGCCCAGATAGGTCTTTCACATCCACTGAGTTTGCTCACAGATGAGAAACGCAGGGCCTGGGGCTCAGCATTTTTTTTTTCTAAATTTGATTATTAATTCATACATTATATTTGAGACATTTATGTGGTTTGTGTGACATTTTCTTACATGACAGAATATGTAATGGACAAATCATGGTATTTGAGGTATCCATCACCTCAAGTATTTATTCCTATATGTTGGGAACAATTCAAGTCGTCTCTTCTAGCTACTTTCAAATATAAAATACATTGTTGTTAATGGAATCAACCATATCTTTTTTTTTCTTTGATTCTGTATCTTTTTTTTATTATGTTTGTTTGTTCTGTCACCCACGCGGGAATGCAGTGGCGCGATCTCGGCTCACTGCAACCTCCGCCTCCCAGGTTCAAGCCATTCTCCTGCCTCAGCCTCCCGAGCAGATGGGATTACAGGCGTGCACCACCACACCTGGCTAATTTTTGTATTTTTGGTAGAGATGCGGTTTCACCATGTTGGCCAGGCTTGTCTCAAACTCCTGACTTCATGATCCACCTGCCTCAGCCTTCTAAAGTGCTGGGATTACAGGCGTGAGCCACTGTGCCCAGCCAATTCTATATCTTTGCTACTATGTACAGTGCTGCAATAAACATGAGACTGTAGATATTTCTTTGATATGCTGATTTATTTTCCTTTGGATAAAGACCCAGTGGTGGGATTGCTGGATCATATGGCACAACATTTCAGCATTTTTTTTAAAATATTTTTTATTTTTTTGAGAAAGCCTTGCTCTGTTGCCCAGGTTGGAGGACAGTGGCATGATCATGGCTTACTATAGCCTCAATCTCTCAGGCTCAAGCAATCCTCCCACCTTAGCTTCCTGAGTAGTTGGGACTATGTGCAGGCCACCATGCCTGGTTAATTTGTGCGTGTTTTTTGTAGACATGGGGTTTTACCATGTTGCCCAGGCTAGTCCTGAACTTCTGGGCTGAAGTGATTTGCCCATTTTGGCCTCCCAAAGTCCTGGCATTATAAGCCTGAGCCACCGTACCTGGTCTCCAGCATTATTTTTGAGCAAGCAGCAAACACTGTAGCAAATAATAGTCAGTCCTTTTCTCTCCAAGTAGCATACATTTAGAGGGAAGTCAGACTATGATCCCTTTATCTACTAGTTGCCTGTATTACTAGCTACAGGAATGGGTTCACCAGTAGTGGGATATGCCTTGCAGTGTGTGGAGACATTCAGGGTTCATGCTTGAAAATATTAAGAGTTTTCCACTCTTAACAATATTGAGTGGCAAACATCATGACAAACAAGTATACATTCATACACTTGTATTTTATTAGTCATAGAAGTATCTACACATCTTTTTGAAAAGTAATTATATAGGTAATTTGTGAAGCCTGAGTCAGTCTACAGAAAGTGCAACTCTCATTTCTGTCATCCTTAGGGGTCTGTAATATACACAGGTTGGAAACCACTACTTGTCATTATAAAGCTCTTTGAGGTCTCAGACTGCATTTTGATGTCTTTTTATTTCCCATGACCTAGTGTAGGGTTAGGTTTATTCTAACTATTTAACAGATACTTGTTAAAAAAAAAAAAAAATGAAGGTGAATAGAATTTGCCAATAAATTCAAGTTGAAAACTATGGAGATACATTTCATAAAGAGTATCAGGGAAGGCAGCTGACTTTGAAAACAATAGGAGACAAAGAGTAACTGTACATCGAACCCAGGATGTGGGGAAGCAGGTTTCCGCATGAGTTTGATCCCATTTTTCTTTGGTGTGTTGTAGAATTCTGTTAAAATTCTGAGGAGTAACAATTCAATAGCCAAAAAGAGATGCTTCTTACAGGTAATGATATAGTAAAGTCACCATGACAGAGTTCAGATAGCAGCAGAATATTGATCAGGGGACCGAGATTCTAGTTTGAGTTCTTCCCCTAACAAGTTGTATGATATTTGACGTATATCCCCTGTCTTCATCTGCAGTGGACAGGGACAAGGCTGAATTCTGTAGGGGATGTTGTTGGGGCCTCATCATGGTAGACAGCAAACAATGGCCACACTTTTTTTTTTTTTTAAAGTTCTTCCCATCAACAGGTGGAGTCTATTTCTCCATTCCTGGGGCACTGAATTGGCCTCGTGACTTCCTTTGACCAACAGAATGTGACAGAAGTAACCTTGTGCACGCCCCAAGCCTGGACCTCAAGAAGCCTTGCAGCTTGCACTCTTGCACTGAGAACCCTCCCACCACACAAGCAAGCTTGAGCTACCTTTATGAATCAGGGGTCAGCAAACCTTTTCTGTAAAGAGTCAGATGGTAAATACATTAGCTTTGGTGTCTGCACAGTCTCAGCCTAACTCTTTCATTTTACTGATAAAGCAGATACAGGCAAGATATAAAAGAATGTACTCCAATAAAGCTGTATTCACAAAAACAAGCAAAAAAACTGGATTTGGCCCATGGGTCACAGTTTCAGATCCCTATGATAGAAGATAAGGAACTATGTGAAGAGAGCCCCAGCCACGCCCACTGCCCCAGCCATCCCAGCTAAGGCCCCAGACATGGGGGCAAGCCCAGCTTAGATCAGCTGAAACCTCCTGAGGCCTGCAGCATGGTCCAGCTGCCCCACCACAGGAACAACCTGAAGAAATCTGAAATGAACTCAGCCACTGCAGTTTCAAGCCTCTAGGTGGTCTGCTACACTGCCAAAGTTCAACCATACACACATTCCAATCTTCTTTTCCAGTCTAAATTACCTGTTCTCCAGTGGCTGTGAGGTTACTGAGGGCCCAGAGCTGCTCCTACTTCAGAGAACTGCCTTACCTTAGAGATTACACTCTGCCCCCAAGGCAGTCCACGATAAATGGCTGACAAAGAGGTACGACGGGTCAAACCCCTACTGCAAAGTGGGTGCAATTCAGGAGTTGTGGGCTCTCTCTGGGAAGCTGGAGTGAGTTTTCCGCTGAAATCTTGCTTTGTTCGGGAGCTTCTTCCCTGTCCTGCCTTGCTTCCCTCTCTTCCCTTCTCCTGCATGTACTCTTCCAATAGACCATTTGCACAAAAATCACCATGCCAAGTTCTGCTTTTAGGAAACATAAGATAGCTCCTAAAATTTCTTTGATATCCATCATAATTATAATCAGGCCACAACTTGGGATAAAAGACTGAGATGCAAATGTGAAGGGCAACATAATAAACCAAAAAGATGAAATTAAACCCACCTTAAGACATGGCAAGAAGAAGAGCGTAATCTTCTATGCCACAAATGCCTTGTCTGCACCTAGAAATGCTAGTAGGGGAAGGAAAATTGAAAGTAGAATTTCTTGGAATAAAATTAAAATCCTGGTAATCTGTCTTCACTTAATATCATTTCCTTAAAATTACCAAAATCTATCAAATTTTTGAAATATATGTTTATTATATTGTCCCAAAAAAGTCCCTGTTACAGTTGGTGCATTTCTCCCCTCCAAATCTCATGTTGAAATTTGATGCACGGTATTGAAGGTGAGACCTAGCAGGAGGTGTGTGGACGGATCCCTCATGTGTGACTTGATGCCATTTTTAAAGGATTGAGTGAGTTCTCACTCGAAGTTCCGACAAGAGCTGACTCTTAAAACGAGTCTAACACCATTCTCTCCTTCTCTTGCTTCTGTCTCACCATGTAATGCCTACTTCCACTCCCTCATGAATGGAAGCTTCCTAAGGCCCTCCCGCAAAGCAGATGTGGGTGCCATGCTTCTTGTACAGCCTGCAGAACCATGAGCCAAGTAAATCTCTTCTCTTTATTAATTACACAGCCTCAGGTATTCCTTTACAGCAACACAAAATGGACTAAGACAAACCCTATTCTATTGGACACTGTGCCCACATCACGCTAATAGACAATGTTAGTCCCTAATCTTGTCTCCCTTTTGTCCTTTGTTTCCTCACTGAGAAAAAACAACACAAGTTGTTCCAACACATCGTGTGAAAATTGAGACTACTAATGAATTCATGCACATAAATTACATTGAAATCACCAGATGGACAGTAATTTGTAAATACAATATACCTATCATCATTATTCTTCAAACAGCATTCTGAGTATTCTGAATCAAAAAAAAAAAAAGGAAAGAAATATTGCCATCAGCGGGTTCCCTGTAAACTGGGAATTGGGTAGCTGGCAAAAGGAAAGATCTGAAGGAAATCTGAAGAAAAAGTAATGACAGCAGCAGGGTTCCCTTTCAAAGGAAGAGAAATAAAGAATTGTCAGAGAGGAAATACTAATAACTAGCACAGCGAAGTATGTGAAAAGAATCTCTAAAAGATATGAGATAGAAACAGAAAGACAGCCTATATCTAGAGGCTAGAAAGGGGAAATTTAAGAAAAAGAAAATGCATTTGTTGGAATAACATGAAGATGCTTCCTCCACGTGGGTATGTCTTCTAGGGATGAAAACACTCAGGAAAAGAGTGTAGTGAAAAATAAAATCAGGAATACCTTGGTAGATACACACTGGAATTTATACGTTCTTAAATATGTGTTAGTTTTAAAAAATAAAGATTTAAATGACTGTTTTCTGTTTTGATTTTCATCATTTCAATTAGTTTATATTTTTTTCTAAGTGAGAATTATTATCCAAACTAAGATGGTTCTGTCATACTTGCTTTCTTAGTAGAAAATAAAAGAAAAAGAAAGAAAGGAGGGAAAGAACAGTTCAATATACAGACTTCTTTTGAAATGCCGAGCACTTCATCCAAACTTTCTATATCTTAGTTTCCTCACTTGTATGTAAATGAAAAGATCAGGATATGTTTTAAAATTCAATAATTCTTCGGGAAAAACATGAGGTTTTACTGCATGAATACTAACTGGAGGAAACATTCTAAATGGCATTTTTAAGTCAAATTGCTGTTTGTAACCTTAGAATACAACTTAGAAGAGCAATACTTTCTGCATTGCTTCAAATCTAAAAGTATTCAAAAAAAGCTAATTTGGTACAGCTGGGAAGAGTTCTAAGGATGTATGTTAATCTAATGACTGTTTAGTATAGGAAATTATAGCTTAAATAATTTATATGAATTCGGATATTCATTAAGGTTTAACAGCATTTGAGAAGGAGTAATTTTAAGACCAGGAACTAAAAATAGTGGCATTTGCTTTCACAGAAACCACAAGTAAATGGCAAAGCATATAATTAATGTACACATTACTTCATTTTAGGGTTTATGCAAACCAAGAGTTACACAAACTATAAGACATTTTGAGTTCAATGCATGTGGTTATTTTCAGGGAATTAAAAAATCTGTAAGATTGAAAAAGGAATCAACTAGATAACTTTAAAATAAAAATTAGCAGGAAGGCTTAGGGAAGCATTTTTGTGGATAAATTTGACTTCATCATAATCAAGAGAAGGGTGTAAAGACAGACTAGGGAGAAAGATGGCAAAGGATAATTAGGAAGCAACATTCCAAAGCAGGTGATGAGAATTCCTCTCTCACATGGAAGGGGATTCCCTGAAAATGCACAGAAGTAATTGTCCCTCAGGAGGGGAAGAGGTGAAAGCAAATGTAATTAACTACTAGTTGCCAAGACATTTGCTTTTTCATGGGCTTCAATTCTGCTCTTCTTGTCTCCTTCTAAACCACTCCTTCTTGGCCACTGGTATGAGGAAGTGCTTCCTGAACTCATGTGGTTCAAATCTCTCTCCCTGTGCCCCAAGTCTCATTTCAATTTTGATGATTGCCCTCTGGGTACTGGTACTCCATGGATCTGATTGGGTTCCATGATTGACTTCTGATTTGAATTCTCCAAATTACCATGAATATTACCATCTGAAATGTTCCCTATTTTTTACTCTTCTGACAAAATCCACCCCTACTTCCATGGCTGTAACTATTTAGTCATTACAAAATGTTTGAATTGGCAAATCAAGATATTTGATATATGCCACAATCCAGACTGTTGTCATATAAAACACACGTTTCATACCTTTGGTCTTCAATGTGAAGAATTTCACATTGCTTATTATTTAGGCACCAATACATTATAGAATACATAATTTAAAAAGTTATGTGTAATTCTATATTATTAAAATATACAAATATAATTTATGTATATTAACAACAGTGTTACAGACTTTCAATAAATCAGCATGTTAATCTCACAACTAAGATTTTATGAATAACTGAAAAGTATTTTATTCTGGTAAAGTATACATAATACAAAATCCCATCTGAACTCTTTGAAAGTGTAGAGTTTTGTGGTATTAGCATATTCACATTGTTCAGCAACATCGTAACCATTCATCTCCAGAAGGTTTTCATCTTCCCAAACTGAAACTCTGTAACCACTAAACACTAACTTTTCATTCTACCTCCTCCCAGCTACTGACAACTACCATTCTCTTTTCTATCTCTATGAATTTGACTACTTTAGTTACCTCATATAAGTTGGCTCATACAATATTTGTCCATGTATGACTCATTTATGACAGCTAGCATAATGTCTTCAAAGTTCATTCATGTTTTAGTACATGTCAGAATTCCCCTTCCTTTTTTTGGGGGGGGGTTGGTGGGGGACGGAATCTCGCTCTGTTGCCCAGGCTGGAGTGCAGTGGCCGGATCTCAGCTCACTGCAAGCTCCGCCTCCCGGGTTTACGCCATTCTCCTGCCTCAGCCTCCCGAGTAGCTGGGACTACAGGTGCCCGCCACCTCGCCTGGCTAGTTTTTTGTATTTTTTAGTAGAGACAGGGTTTCACCGTGTTAGCCAGGATGGTCTCGATCTCCTGACCTCGTGATCCGCCCATCTCAGCCACTCCCAAAGTGCTGGGATTACAGGCTTGAGCCACCGCACCCGCCGAATTCCCTTCCTTTTTAAGGCTGAATAGCATTCCATTTTGTGTGTGTGTGTGCGTGTGTGTATAAAAATTACATATACACACACACCACATTTTGTTTATCCTTTTAAACATTGATAAACACATGAGTTCTTTCTTGGCTATTATTAAGAATGTGGCTATGAATGTGGATGTACAAATACTTGTTAAAGTTTCTGCTTTCAATGCGGAATGGTCACAGTTTTTGTTTCATTGTTTATATTTGAAGTCTACAACATTATGTTATGGGATACAGAGATACTGAAAAGGTTACTATAGTGAAACAAATTAACATATCTATAACCTCACACAGTTACATATTGTGTGTATGTGTGTGTTGGTGGTAATAGCAGCTATAATCTACTACTTTAGCATGAATCTCACATACAGTACAAATTTACTGCCCATGGTCTTTGTGTTACAACATTAGATCTCTAGACTACAGAGAACTCAATCGTGAAAAAACAAATAACCCAGTTAAAAAACGGGAAAAAGACCTGACTAGATATTTCTACAAAGAATACATAAAAGTGGCCAACAGGTATGAGAAAATATGCTTCGCATTAATAAAAGGGAAACACAAATCAAAACCACTATGAGATACCATCTCACCTCCCGTTAGGATGGCTGATAACAAAAAGACAAAAGACATCAAGTGTCAGCAAGGATGTAAAGACAAGGGAACTCCTGTCTACCGCTGATGAGAATTTAGGTTGCTACAGCCATGAAGGAAAACAGTATGGAGATTTCTAGAGAAATTAGAAATAGAACTACCGTATGACCCAGCAATCCATCCTCTGGGTATATACCCAAAGGCAATAAAGTCACTAGCACATAAACATATCTGCATACTCATGTTCATTGCAGCATTAGCTACACAGCCAAGATATGTAAATGACCTCTGTATCTGTCAACAAATGAATGGATAAAGAAACTGTGGTAGACATAAAATGGAATATTATTCAGCCCTAAAAAAGAACAAGATCTTGCCATTTGCCACATGTATGAGGCTGAAGGACATTATGCAGACAGATGACAAATATTTCATGATCTCACTTATATGTAGACTCTAAAACAAAAATTCAAACATAAGAGAAAGAACAAAACAGGGATGGGAGGGACGGGGGAAGAAATAAGGAGACGTAGGTTAGAGGATACAAAACTAAGTATTTTAAAAATTACTTTAGTGCCTGGTTAAGTATCCTGCTCCTAGCTATTCAATACATTTCTACTAAATGCAAAATAGCATTCCCAATTTCTCATGATTATTTTGTTGTCAAATATTAACATTTGTCATTTTAGTAAAATGATAGGAATTACTTTTCTAATTAATAAAATGAATCCCTATTTTCCTTTAGGAGTCTTCACTGAAATTGTTACAAAATAGTTAGAAGGAAATGTACAATGAAAGGTTATTTTAAGAAAGGTTATA